AAGTGGGGCCTTTAGAGGTGATTAGGTCAAGAGAGTGGAGCCCTCATTAATGAGATTAAGATCTTTATAAAAGACCACTGGATTAACTGAGGACACAATTATAAAATATGCTAAAAATATGAAAGCATGCCCTAGCCAGATGCCAAATTGGCTGCTGCCTTAATCTTATTGTTAATAAATTTTTACAGTCATATATTCCCCAGATTTGTGATAGTTGCATAGTTGTCATAAAGCAATAAGGTATGCAAAACATTTATTCTTATTTTCTGTTAAAATAAGATTGCAGATGTTTAAAAATTGAGTGTTTTAGTTGGTGATTGGTTATCACAGGTAGGATGGGGATGCTTACATTGTCTTCCAGCAGGATGTACAAAGCCCTAAATCCAGAAAAATGCAGTGAATCACAATGGGCATTCTAGAGCCCAGATGACTAGTTTTCTTGTGATCATGTTCTGGAACTGTTTCACGTTGCTATAATTATGACTTATAAAACATGTTTCAGCTTTTGTCTTAATGAATTGTTTGTTTTGTGGTCTTTTAAAATTATGCCTGTCATGATTCCTTTGATAAATCTGTTTTCCTCTTCCAACACAACATAGGTTTCCCTGGAGCTAAAGCGTTCACATTGTCCTTTATGTCAAAACAACTCCTGGATCCCAGCTTGTGACTCATCCAAAGCAAGAACTTTAGAAGGACTGTTGTGAAGCAGAACCTGAAGACTGTATGGCGATCTGAAAATGATGGATAAACGAATTATTTGTTGATATATACAGATTACGTATCACACTGTGCTCACGTGTTTACATGTTCTTATATGGACAAAGAGGTTCTGTGGAATTAATTTTATTTAATGAACTCTCTTTCTCCAGTCCAGCTTGTTAACACTGGGGTAGACATATAGGTGAGTCTGTGCATTGATTACAGTCACATATTGGTTACACATCATTGGCTACTAGAGGTTAGTCTGTACATAAAAGTGGCATACTGAAACTTATCAACCATATCTTTAAAACAGTTTTGGCTCTTGAGAGATAGTGGTGTTTGTTACAAATGGAATAATGTAAAACATTTATAGTTTGAGCTGTGCTGATAAGGTTTGTTAGCATATAGTAGCAGGTAAAGAATATGCTCTCTACTAGGGTTTGAGATTAGCTCAGTTGGTAAAGTCTCTGAAGCCTATGAGCCACCAGCCTATCCTAATTAGACAAATCCTAGGTTAATGAGAGACAGCATCACAAAGTTAAAGTGGCTAGTTCCTGAGGAAGAATGACGGATGATGCTTTCCTTTCACCCTCACATGTATGTGGACACATACATACGTACAGTGATATGTACATTACATAATAGAATGTTATGAATTATAAACAAGGTATTATATAGTTTGATTCAATGTGTGAGTATTTAAGTTACTTTCTACCAGTTTTATTCATGTCAGGAATTTTCAATGTATGAAAGGAATTTTACATATATACAAGTAACAAAGAAGCCAAAATATGAATTCATTGCTTTTGCTATTATTTATTTATTTATTTATTTTGGTTTTTAAGACAGGGTTTCTCTGTGTAGCTTTAGAACCTTTTCTGCAATTCACTCTGTAGATAATGCTGGCTTCAAACTCACAGCTTGCAGTACTTATATCACAGTGAAAACCCACAGACATCTGCCTGCCTCTGCCTCCCAAGTGTTGGGATTGAAAGCTTGCACAACCACTGCCTGGCTCCTTGCTTAATTTTCTAAGATAGCTTGTTAGAGTTTTTATTTAATCCAGGGGCACTATTTTTAAAGCTCCTATTCGATATTTCTATATAAATTGTAAAAAAAAGAAAGATGTGGACAAGGTGACATTTTTGTTGTTGTGTGCTTTCCTCAGACACAATGAGCCTGAGTCTGGAAGTGAACACCAGTACTAGCTCTTCGGTACCCTATTGCTGAAGTGTCTACTAACCATTTCAAACACTATACCCATAGTAGAAGATGATGTAGGCGATTCATAACGAAACTGTAAAACCTGGGACAATGCAGACATTTTGTAACAGTAATTCTCTTGAAGTTTATTGCATATCTCTTCACTGTTTTTTTTCTCCCTGCTCTTTGGTGCAGGCCACAACTTCTTACCGTATACATTGATTTCCAGGGAGTAGAATTTGGTTCCATTCAACTACTTGAGAGGCACTGGAGACTCATGCAGTTGTGATACTAAAGTATCAGGGATTTAAATCTGATTTAATGTAGTGTTGGAAATATAGCAATAAAAACCTACAAATTAAAAGAAAACAACTATATCTTTCATGTGAAAATTTCTGCTTATTTGAAATGTTTATAGAACTCAACACACCCTCATTTAACTTAGAGTGCTTTTGGTAAAATTGACTGATGTAAACATTTAAATAATTTGTATGTCTGTGTGTTTGTGTGAGCACATGTGTACAGTTGCCTATTCCCATGAGTTCATGTGTCTTTATGTTTCTCTTGCTCCCTTGAGAAAAGTCTCTCATTGACTCTGGAGCTCAGTGATGTTAGGCTGGTGTGTTAGACAGCAAGTCTCAGTCACATTCTGCCTTGTCTGAGATAGAATTACTGGTATACATAGCACTCATGCCCAGTATTTTAACTAGGTGGTGGGTTCTGATAGGTCTCTCTGCTTGTACAACAAATGCACTTACACACTCAACTATCACCCAAGTCCTTACCATAGACATTTAAAGATTCTTTTTCGTTATTATGTTGGATATTTATGTATTCCATCATCATTGTATTTCTTAGGAAGTTATTTACACAATGTCAATCCTAATGCAATAGTTACCCCTTTGGTAAAATTAGCAGTTCTCATGGTTTTGCAAAAGAAATACTAACAGTAATCATGAGACACTCACTTTCAACTAATTTTCTTCTGGTATGTCCTTGGTAATCCAATGATTTTCTGTCAGCATCTTATTTAGCCAAGAGGACAGGTATATATTATAATAATGATTTTATAGATACATATGAAATTATATATAAATCATAGCATATATAATATTATATATATATTCATTGTATGTTAAGTTATAATATCAGACACTAGTACTTATTTACTCTTCTGGATATTCAGGCAATGAGATTGAATTTGTTGCTGTATTAGCCTATGATGTCATAAGTAGATTCTTAATGATTGATCCACACTGGAAAAAGCAACTCCCATCGTATGACTTTCATTATATATGTTTATAGCTCCTTTTCAAATGTTTCAATTTGGCAAAATGAACTAAGTGATTGATCCTTTGGTTATGTGAGCAATGGAAAATTATATTAAATAATACACATTATACACTGCAGAGATACTTTAAATAATGCATAATTATCAGAAAGTATTTCTGCTTTTTTCTGTGCATACATAAAAGATTCGTTGCTTTAATGTATTATTTATTAATTCATGAATTGTGAAAGAATGTCTGGGCTTTCAGATGCAATATTTCTTCATTTTCAGTTAACCACTCAGTGACAGGTCATGTTCTTCATGTTCCATTAAAAAGAGGGTTGCACATTACTAAGCTTCTGTGGATAAAATCTTTCTATATTTGTCCTGAATACATTATTATTCTGTCAATAATATTCATATAGTATCATAATATAACAATACAGAAATTCTTGTTATTGGAACATAATATATGGAAATATATTTCTCGTAGCCACTCTAGAAGCTGCTGCTCATGTTTATGGGAGGAAGTTCGGGAACGATCAATAAACAAGTTGTGACTGGCATTGTCATGGATCTACAACAGATTGTATCAGATTAATGAATGTGTGTGGTAACTTTTATCAATGGAAACCGTGCTGATTTTATAAAATGAGATGTAACTTAACTATCAAACTTTCTTATCAATTCATTCAGTGGACACAGATTCAGAGCCTACTTTTCCTCATGACTGAGGTCGGTATTTTTACATTATGACATATGAACAAATGTCTTTGTAGTACTTTATTCACTGGAGAAAATAAGTGATTAAAATATGTAACTAAGCCTGAATACTTAGCCAGGTAATCTATCTGGTATAGACACTGAGACATTTTTCTGAAAGTGGTGAGTGAGCACACTAAAAGTTGAATAATGGATTAATAAACATGGTGATGTATATACTAGATTCAGGGCTCTATAGGAAGGCTCCCAATATTAGCAGAAATGTCTTTCTAGATAGTATTAGTTAATATTAATTAGGGAGATAATTATTCACATTATGGGACAGACAGCATATTCACAGCAATGTAACATTAACTAGATGCTTGTTATAGATTAACAAAAATGATGGCATACTGAGTGTTCACAGTGGGTCACATTACTAGCAGACAAGAGATTTGAGAAGATTATATTTGATAGCTGAATTTCTCTGGGATGGTGCCTTTAGAATTTACAGTATATCTGCATGCATACAGAACTTTAAACAACCCGAAATATATGTCATAGCATTACACACCAAGCAGGTGTTAGCTTGACATTGCCTCTGCCTTGGTAATCTGTGCTACCATAATAGATTTTCTTCATTCCACAATGGAGTATATAAAACATTGTCAGAAATAACCATGAAATTAAAAAAAAAAGTAAAAGTAAACTGACCTTTATTTGTGTTTTGTTTTGCTTGGATTTTGTTTGTTCAGTCTAAGGACTGAAGAAGATGAAGAAAATTAAATTAAAAGAAAATAGAGATAAGTCATATTGTATTACTATTATGATGATGATGGTAGTGGTGATGGTGTTTGTATTGGCTCTTTTTTTTTTTTTTTTTGAGTTGACTGTTTGCTGTGAAGCTGACACCAGCAAACCAGAATCATAGCATATTTATTTTGCGCCGTGAGGGCACTGCTACTCATGGTAGGGGTCTCTGTGGGGAGCAGTCTAAAGGTTCAATAATCCAAACCTTTTCAACCATAGCTCATAAAAGTATTCCATCGGCATCACTGGGCAAGGTGCCGCTGCAGTATTTCCCAAGCAACGGCTGCCTTTCAGGTCATAGGCATAGCGCACATTATAATTCTATAGAGCAGGCGACTGCGAAAAAACAGACTTCCTTGAGCTGTCTTTCAGACCTGAGTATATCCAGAAGCTCAGGACCAAGTTCATCAAATCTGCGTACAAGCACTCGGCATCCATCATAGTACTCCGGAGGGACAGGGTATATCTCTTTGGTTAGCTTGTTCAGCTTGGCTGTGAGGTGAAGCAGTTGCTTCAGGATGGGTAGAGACAGTTCATTCATGTAAAAATTAATCTCAAGGAGCTGGGAGCATTGACTCAGGGCAGGCATCAAAGCACTAAATTGAGAATCCTCCAGCCGACATCCGGCCAGGTCAAGAGTTTCCAAGGTGTCTTTCACGCTCTCAAGGAGATAGCCAAGTGGCTGAATACACCTGTCCAACATTGTGAAAGACAAGTAGAGATGTTTAAGCGAAGAAAGGTTCAGGCGCAGGGGCAGGTAATCCAAGTCTCTCTGTATGATGTAACAGTGAGTGATGGACAGGGTCTGCAAGGGCTTCTTCAGGCACCGGAGACAATCAGCCAGGCTGCCAACTAGAGCAGGAGCATCGTTGATATAGAGATGCTGGAGACAGTGGAATTTGGGTAATTGTGATACCAATTTGTTCATGCACTCCTCTTCCAGCTCTTGAGATCAGCTGATGCTTGAATCCTTACTAATGTATGACAAACGGAGTGTGTGAAGGTTTTGCATCTGTCTCAGGTACGGTCCAAAAGGACCCATGTCTTCTATACATAAAAATCTCACCTTCAGCTCCCTTACACAGTGGAGATCTACAGACTTTAAGAAGTCTATGGCTGTGGGAAACAATTTTGATGTCAAAATATGGCTCTTTGGACAGCACAAATGAACAGAATTTTGTCTCTGCTGGGCCCATCGCCACAAGTATGTGGTACATTCACCACACCTACTGTCCATGATACTTAGGTCATTTATGACATGTAGATATTTCTTTCCTCGTGAGTAAGGAAACGTCTCCACTGTCTTCTCTCTCGTGAACTGAAGAAAGAATTCCCTTTCACAGGATTGACTCCGATTGACACAGGTATCCCTATTTGTCAAATCCAGCACTCTGATTTTCCCGCGGCGGGGGCAAGGCTCCTCTGTAATCAGCACATCTAGTCCATCAAGCAGAGCTTTCAAAGTCTCCAGGTGTGGGGTCTTCATCAGGATTCCTACAGGAAGGCATGTGAATGGCCAGGCAGGCACCATGGCCCGCAGGATGTCGGTCTGATTGTTCCTGAAGGCCCTCTCAAATGCTGCTGGGAACAGGAACCAGGGCAAGCCGGCTAGACCAGAAATGGTCAAGGCCTCCTTCTTCAGTAGGCTCTCGAACGCTAGCTGCTGGAGTGTTGGTGGGGCTTGATAACTCATTGTGACTGGTTTCAGGAATAATGATCCTGAGTTGGATACTGGTGATAGGCCTCCAAATCCAGGCAGGGAAACGTTGTATCTCCAGGTTTCAGAGACTCTGTCTGTATTGGCTTTTTGAGGCAAGGTTTCTCTCTGTAGCTTTGGAGTCTGTCCTAGAACTTGCTTTGTAGACTTGTCTGTCCTTAATTCATAGAGATCGTCCTGCCTCTGTCTCCAGAGTACTGGAATTAAAGGCGTGCACCACGACCACCCAGCAACATATTTATATTTTAAGTATGTATGCTTTACTATTAGCCAAAATACATACCTAGTGAAAGCCAGTCCAGAAGAGAAAAAATGCTTGGTGTAAATTTATACCTGAGCAGAGGCATATCGCTCGTGAGTATTACATTATAAAAATGATGGGTGAATAAAATAAGAAATTTCAGTGGACCCCAAAGACGAGATCCAGCATATAGAGGTCCACTGTCACAACTTGTCTGACAGTGGGAAGTAGTACACTAAAGACTCTGCAATGAATGTAGCAAAAGTCCAAAAATTCAAGTGATGATTCGAGAAAGCTAAAACATTAATCTCAGGAGTAGGAGTTGTACTATAAGAAAGAGAGCAGAGGGTTGAGGAAGGCTCAAGTTATAAAGCTATGTGTGTATGTACTGATGTTGATTGTCTGTGTTCCATGACAGTTTCCTAGTTTTAGGTTGTTGTCATGATGTGTCTGCATCTGAGATGAAACATTGTTACTTTCAGAAGGCAGACAGCATTAACTTCACAGTTACAACACATTTCTCACTTCCAAAATACATACCTAATGAAAGCCTACGCCCCATGATAAAAATCCAGAAGTGAGCACTAGTGGAGTTTTCTCACGCAGTGAGTGTGCATTACCACTAAGGACCCATGCTTAGGAAACACTATTTTGTCAGATTATGTTTCCAAATAACTTCTACATTTGTCATTGCTATTGTCTTTTTCTTCATGAATAGAAAACACAATTACCCATCTCTGTTGTAAGAAGATGCTATCTTTGTCTTTATAGGAATTGGTTATATGCACATACATAAAAAGATAATGAAGAGTAAAGAAAATAAGAAGAATTACAGAAATGTCACAGGAAATCATTCCTGGACACATCCCTTGACAAGCTGTTTAAATGTTCAGAGTTATGGAACCAAATAGAGATATGCACAGATACAATACGAAAGATAGGTAGTACATGTTTAATCATATACTTAGAGCTTTCAATTTGAGAGCTGCTCCTGTGAAGGGCTTAGGCTGAAATGTTGGGAAACAGAAGGGACAATAAAGAGATCAGTTACTTGGTTCCCTAGACAGGGACCCTTACACTTGAAATGACAGAAACTAACAGTTGACTTAGGAAAACAGTGATGCAGGTTTTCTATGAAGAGGGCTACAGATTGGTTCCTGATCTGAAGAAAGTAGGGAAGGCAGTAAAACAGACTGAAAGATCACAAGAACAAAAGACAGATTTGAAACTCGATGGGTGTGAGTAGCAAAGACCCATAAACTGAAGTTTAATTATGAAATGAATTAATGGCTTTATGTGCTAATATGTTCCTAAATGTCAGAGTGAACATAAAAGGACAAATTTTAGGTAGATTAAATTGAACTTAAAATCACTTTTGATAGAGAATTATCATGTAATTAAAACTCATCAATAATTAAAAGCACCTTTAAACATCTTTACTTTATGCCTATTCTTTACAATAGGTAATCTTTAAAACTGCTTAGATGATTTAATACGGAAACAGAGTTGTGGTTCCATGTAGAAATATAATCTTACAGATAATAGTTTTTATTTTTCAAGAAACTACTAGTGAACATGTGTGTTAAAACATCAAATATAGGAGCATCCCATTGTTTTGGTAGAATTTATGGTTAATATCCTAAAAAATTACATAGAAATGTGCCCTGAGATAATCTACAATATGCATCTAGATGAAGAAAATTGTGTCCATAAGCCTGGCCAGTTTATTAAATTCTTTAAGTTCAAATTAAGTTTCCATGGTTTCCATACTCCTCAATGTGTGGAATTTAACAAGGTCATAGACTTTAGTCAATTTTAACATAGACTGGTAAGCTTGTCAAATCCTATTCATAATGTAGCAAGATTAAATTATCATCTAATGGGAAAAAAGTAGAAAAAAAAGTTTAAAATAGAACGGTGTCTCATTATTCTCATGTTTCCTTGACTTTAGTTCCTCCAGGACTTCTGAAGATATTTAGTTTCATTGTTCTCTGAGTAGCTCATGAATATTTCAGCTCCACATGGTCGAATATTCTTCTACCCATTCATTTAGATCACAGCACAAGCAGGTTTTTATGCATGTTGCTGGGAAACCTGGAAACTTAGGGATTTAACTTTCTTCTACTTTTTTAAATGGAAGAGTAGACTGTATAGGGACACTAACATTCATTGCTTTTGTTTTAAGATTATCATAGATTAAACATATGGCATGTTTCTTCAATAAAGACACAGCTACTTAATCTCCATAGTCATGTCGAGTGATAGTTTTCAAACATTAAAGCACTGTTGTACCAACGAGGGTTGCTTTGGAATATTTTTTAACTACTATAAGAGATTTTCTTGTGTTACTTTATATAAATATATTGAAAGTGTTTAAAAGGGAACAAAAACTATCCCTTCAGCATGGCACTTACCTTGAATCTTGTATGAAGTAATCAAACATATACATAGCTTGAAGTTATTTATGGTTGGCTATAAAGTGTATAGGTGAAATTCCTCATTCTTAAATCTGTATATGTAATTAAAACAATCTTAGGTTAATCAATCTAAGTGAATGTTATGGTTTCATCGTAGCATGCAATAATACCATAGGGTTAAAGCAATTCTATAAGAAAAGGAATTACTCAAAAATCACCCTGATGCACAGTGTAAACACAGGCCCAAAAAACATAGATGAAAACATTATGTCTTAAGAATAAAAATTTAAAACATGAAAATGATAAATTAAATATTGGTAAAACTTAATTCTACATTTTAGAGATTAAAAAGTAAAAGAAATAAAACATGATAATGAAGCAGAATGAACTAATATATCTTCTATTTGTATTCATAAGAGCATATGTATATGTGTGAATACATGTGTGCATATGTATATGTGTGTATATATGTGCATGTGTATATGTGCACATGTGTATCTTTGTGAAAGTGTGCATGTGTGTGTGTGTGTGTGTGATGTACTTTGTGGCACCACTTTCAGATTTTTCTATAGCTCATTCCTGAGACTCACCCACATAGTCACCAGCATGTAAACAGTGTGTGTGTCATGGCTTTTGGCTACTCAGTTATTTAGTGATTAGAGGAATCATGTTATCCTTTACTTATTAAGATAACAAAGTAAAAAATTTTAGCCTTTAACCACAGGTTTAAAAGGAAAAACTAGCAGTTATAAAATATAACTTGGGCTTTAATATTGCAAGGTCTTACAAGTCTTCAAAGTATATCATTTTGTAAGGTACTGTCACATATTTTATTACGAGGGACAATAGGTGTAACGGAATATCTTAGAATTAAATAGAAGTGTAACTTGCTGGCTACAAGAGATGCTTCCAGAAAAATGTCTTTAATTTAGACTTTGGTCCAGAGGTTATGATACTCACTTGGCAAGGTCTCTTTATTACCTGCCTATACATTAAAGGCATCAGACTTCTTATTGTAGGATTTGGTTTTGCACAATGTAAACAGAATTTCCTCCTTGTCTGAGGTTTGACACATGTCAGATAAACTGCTTTGTTACAATGGTGGTGCTACAGGATCAGAGACAAGGAACTTTATATTTTTGTATAACCTTTTCACATTCCGCAATTGGGCCTTTTGAGATGTTTCATGTCATAACTTTTGAAACTTCACAAGTGCAAGGGAAATTACACAATTACCAAATTTTAACATGTAATTAACTTTGACTTCATTTTTCATGATGCGAAAAATTCTCAAGTCAAGTCTAAGAAATAGAAATTATTAAGATAAGCTAATAGACATCAGACAGAGGTATGGTCTCCAAAATATACAAAGAAATTGGTCATCTAAAGAACACATAATGCAATAAAAAAAATGGAATACAGACCTAAACAGAGAACTCACATGAGAGAAATCTAAAATGGCTGAAAGACACTTAAGAAAATTTCCAACATCCTTAGGCATCAGAGAAATGCAAATCAAAACAACTCTGAGATTCCATCTAATACCTGTAAGAATGGCCAAGATCAAAAACACTGATGGCAACTTATGCTGGAGAGGTTGTGGGGAAAAGGGAACACTTCTGCATTGCTGGTGGGAATGCAAGCTGGTACAACTTCTTTGGATGTCAGTGTGGCGATATCTCAGAAAATTAGGAAACAACCTTTCTTAACACCCAGTAATACCACTTTTGGGTATATATCAAAAGGATGCTCAATTGTGCCACAAGGACATTGTTTGTCATAACCAGAACCTGGAAACAACCTAAATGCTCCTCGACCAAAGAATGGATAAAAAAATGTGGTAGATTTACACAATGGAGTACTACACAGTAGAAAAATAATAACATCTTGGATTTTTCAGGCAAATAGATGGAGCTAGAAAACATTATTTTGAATGAGGTAACCCAGACACAGAAAGACAGTTATCATGTTCTCACTCATATGTGGTTTTTAAACAGAAAACAAAGAAAAAAAAGCCTACAAACCACAATCCCGGAGAACTTAGACAACAATGAAGACACTAAGAGAGACTTACATAGATCTAATCTACACGGGAAGTAGAAAAAGACAAGATCTCCTAAGTAAATTGGGAGCATTTAGTGTCTGTAAACTGACAGTAATAAAAAGTGATAGGATGATTTTTCACAGAAAACTGTAAACTATATATTTTTCCTTGATGTTTGCCAATTCAAATAATAACCAATTTCCAATAGTTTGGTAAGTTGTTTAGTGAGAAGATGGTCTTATATAATTAGAGTAAGATAGTGCACCTGAACCAT